CCTTTCCTTCTGAGGGACGCTGGTAGAAAATGCGTTACAATTGCAGTCTTTTCTGTTTTGTGAGAAGGAATCAGCCAAGATTTTTTAAAGGCTTTTCTTTTGCCCCAGGATAAAAATTGGCTACATCAGAACTGTGGTGTACTTGAATGTGAAAGAAATTGATAAGAAATGCACCACCATTAGGTGCAGCCATTCGTAAGTATGGACATCAATAGGACGAAAAATTGCCTTTCGGATAAATTCATTGTTGGACATGGCACAGAACATTCTCGCTACAAAATAATATTGTTTTCTTCCATTCAACTCAGCAGGCATTGCACAAGCCTGAGGACTGGACATCACTCATATGTTAAAAAAACCTCCTTTACCACGTGAACAAGAAGACTGATTGACAGGGCAGATGTAGAGGGAAATCAGACTGCAGAATGCACCGTGGTGAAATAACCTTGCAGGCTGTAGTCAACATTATGTTTTCCTTCCTAACATGTCTCCTTGCTTACTGGTGACTTTTTTCCTTACATGAGAGGCCATAGTTCACCCCATGAATGGAATCAACCCTTAAACACTGCTAATGAAAATCTTTCTGTATCTACAACGGTGAAAGATACTCTGCTTGCAGTCCTAAATAAACTGTGAAGTGAGCATTAACAAAGACACAAAGATAACTGAGACCAGAATCAAAAAGAGCAAAGTGTACCTTCTTGGGTCTTTTCCTCCTCACAGTGACTCAGATGAGGTTGTGACCTCTGCCTTGCTTTGCAGGACACTGTGAAATACACTCTGGGGAGACATTAAATAAAAAAAATGCATGGAGCTGTTTTAATCTCATGTGCATTGTGCTTTGTGGTGGATAGCAGTAGTAAAAACCCATTCACAGGGTGTGGGTCCACTGGTGGAGCTGAGCTGGAAGCAAAGGGTGTTCACAGCACCCTTTGGGTGGTGTGAGGGCAGCGTCAGTGCCAAGAGGCTTTTGCTGCCTGGTGCAGTGAAGCAGAGAAGAAGCCCAGGAAATGCAAGAACCCAGTGCAGGGCATGGAGTCTGCAGAACTGCAATCACAGGCACTGCTTTGGGTTTTCTTTCCCTTTTTTTTTTTAATGCAAAAGACGAAACTACCAAAAAAAAAAAAAAAAAAAATTGAAAATGAAGCATTTTCTTTATAAACCCAGAAGAGGAGACTATAAAACCACCCTTAATTGTGTTACAGAAGCGAAGAAAGAACCAGTAAATTGAACTGTGGATCTCTGCTGTAATTTAGCTCTATTTGTTGTAGAAGTCACTACAGAGTAGATGAGCTTGGGAACAATTGACTAAGCATGGCGCAGAAAAGAAAATCCTAATGGCATATGTAAATTTATGTCTGTGCCCTTGGTTCAAACAAGTTACAGAGCTCATTCAAATAAGGATTAAATGAGGGGTTGCTCAAAGAATTCATTTTCCAGCTCTGAGGAAACATATATTGTGTGGTTCTGTTATAGTCCCTGGCACAACAGAATTTCTCCCACTTGCTGATTTTACTACATGTGAATGTGTCACCTTGTAGTGGTTGTATTAGACTATCAAAATATGATTTTTTTTTTTACATTCTTATTTACATACAAGCATACTTTTTTCAGACACTTACACACGTGTAAGAGGATATGGACATTTCTTTGCAGTTTATTTCTGTATGTTCACCTGAGTGAACTTCTTGGTCTTTCATAACTAGAAAAAAACAAATGTTTTTCAGCATGATGAAATAATAGATTTCTATGCTGCTCTCTATATATGACAGGAATTAAAAATGTCATAGAATTAAAAGAATATTTAGAAACCAAAGGGGCTTATATTTTTCTGCACTATAATTCAGGCTTTCTGATCACGGTTGTGTCTGCTGAAGTGGCTTGAGTTGGAAGTTAGTTTATAATTAAAAATATTTGATTTATTTTAAAACCAATAAAATATAGCTGCTTATTTTAATTGATTGTAGAGATACAGCAATAAGAATCAGCATAGCGTGATGTTGTGTACTGTAAATTGAGGGTTGCAGTGCTATTCCATTATTGATCTTTCAGAAAATCTCAATACAAAATAAGAATCTCTGTGGGGTGTTTCATGTACTTTGAAGCCATTCAATCCCTCTTCCTCTTTGGAACACAGCAGCAGCATCACACATGAGAAAATTCTGTGCTTCCCTTGACCCATCTGCTTAAAGCATTGTCCTCTAATCCAAAAGCAAATTCCTCTCCTGAACTTAAAAACTGTTACATGCAGACAGCTTTAGAAGTAAGCATTTGTCATTTCTTCCCTCCTCCTCCCTCTCCTAAACCTTGGACAAATCTGAACGCCATCTCATTCTTAGTGTTTCTTAGTTCTTCGGTGTTTCTGAGTCAAGGTCAAGAAGAATAATATAGCTACTCAGCTGATGTGAGTAACATGAAACATTTTCCCTCTCTCCTGGGAAATAGCTTTCACCTTCCAATAGGACTCTCATAAACTATGGAGGAGTTTACCAATCATGCAATGTTTTGTGTCTGCACTTCAGCACTCCCTTGCAAGAGTTCTGAGAACTCCTTAGATTCCCTTTGTATTTTCTGAAGACATAGTAAGATTTTTTTCACAGCCAAACCTCTCACATTTCCTGATGTAATCAGGTATGCAGAAGAGTATATAGTTTTTCTGAAGAGAATATGGATGTGTAACTTTTGCCTTGTTGCAATAGTTGCAGATGCCTCATAGCTGGAAAGGATCACAGAAGGTTCCCTTTGCAGTCTCCATTTTGTTCCTGAGGAATGGCTGCAGGATTGTTCTGCTCAAACCAAATCCAAGCCAAAAGTAGGTGTAATAGCAGAAAGGACAACACTTATCCCAGAATCAGGGATATCCTGGAGCTGTTTATCATTCTTCTGTCACGCAGTCCTCTGCTAGGGTGGTACTGAGATGATTCAGTGGGTCTTGGAGTTCACATCCCATTCTGAGTTAATGCTTCATGTTGCCTCCAGGCTCTGCTCAATGTGATTGCTTCACTGCAATTGAGTCACATCTTTTTTTTTTTTTTCTTTCTTTAATTTGTGATTACAGAATCTCAAGATTATTTTTATTACCAATGAAAGAAAGGTGGTTGGTGTAATCATGTCACTCCATATTCTGAAATTCCCATGTATAGTCCTGCAGGATTTGTGTCCAGACTGGCTGTGCTCCAACATTATCTTCTTGCTACGTTTGTTGTTGTGGAACAACAACAGGGAATTCAGCTCTGCAATTAAAATATCTCAGAGTACTATTAGATAGTCCAGTCCTTCCAAACACAAATGGTTTAGTTCAGAAAGTATTATTTTTCCAACATTAGGGGTGATTCTCATCTGCTGTCAACCTTTCCCACTGATTGCAACATCATGGAACACTGTAATTTGTGTTCCTAGCAAAGAGTCCATCATTCACTAACATTCAGATATTTAACTCTAACACAGCTCCTCAGCTTGCATCAATCAATGTTGCTGCATTGATTTCAGTTGAGCCATGCCAGCTGAATTGCTATCTTTTTTCCAAAAAGTAGAAAAATAATTGCTTAATACTGTACAGTTTTCAGCCTGACCTTTTGAATTTTAGATCCGGCTTCTGAAAAATTACGTTTTCTACTTCAGAGATCAATCTTTCCTCTTACCACACCCACGCTACTATTGCGTGGCCCCCGCTTCCTTCATGGCTGAGTGAGAATGCTAATGCTTTTCTGCAGTTTTTATTTTGTTTTCACAAACCACCATCAGCAGTAGGTATTGCTATTTCCTAGCCTCACTGTCTCTTCAGCTATAACGCTCCGGCTGCAACCTATTGTATATAAATGCTGTTGATTTCTTCAGACCACATCACTTTGTGAAAAAAAGAAGGAACAAAATAAAACAGATCAAATCTTATTATTGCACTCAACAGTCTGACTGTGCAGGCAGAAGCTCCATATTGAAGGAACTTTAATCCTGACAGGGCTCTTATAGATAAACATATACCAGCGTGTGCAAATCAGAATTCTGGCTGAATGCTTTCAGTATCATTTCCTTGCTTTAACAATCTAAACTTTATTTTCACATTTTCCACAATAATTTCTCATCATTTTTGTGCATTTTCCAGTTCTTACACGGTATAAAGCTGCATATATAGGTGTAATTTGTATGGTTTAATAGTTGTATAAATTCCCCTTTTCACAATGCAAATACTTCTGCTTTCTGGTACAGCAAAACAACAACAACAAAAAAAGATGACATTATTTAGTATTTTCACTGTGTAACTGCTGCCTCCTTTGAAAATAGCAGATTTTATGTAATAGTTAAAACTGTAAACAGTATTTCTGTATTTTTTTTTTTTTCCAAGCAAACTACAATCAGTTTTCAATCAATTTGGTTCAGCTATGCTTTACAGGAAGAATGAATAAAAAGGAAACTGGTCTCGGGAGGGAGGGAAAAGGAGAAACATGCATTTGCTAATGGCATGGTGATACCTTTGCTTCCATATTCATTCTAAATAAACATGAAAGATGTTTGGCGTATGATTGTAGGAAGAACTCATCCACAACACATGCTCTTTATCATAGTAATCCTACAGAAGTGTGTTGCCAATTGCAAGTGATTCACAGCATGCACAATCAGGTTTCACATTGCCAAGATATCCTTAAGTTGTATGAATTGCGTGACTTTGCTTATTTAATAGCATGTTTGCCTCCTTGTGCCTCTTTAAGAGACGGTGTGAGCCCAGAACAATTCTTTGGTATGAAGTTGATATTTTCTTTCTACTTTCAGGTTTTATGACAGTTGTTGCTTGTAATATTCCAAGAAGCTTTCTTCCTACTTGCATTGCTTGCTTGCTGATATACTACATATTGAGCAACCTGAATAGTATAAATATACATATGTAAACTGCACATTTGGATTTCGGCCATCATGCTTGCTTTTAAAGGCTTCAAAATTTGTCTGATTTAAACTAGTACTTAGGAGTTAACTTTATTTATTAGTTCTACATTCCTTCTTTCTAGGCTCTCAAGGATGATGATGCTGAGACTGGGCTGACTGACGGGGAAGAGAAAGAAGAGCCGAAAGAAGTGGAGAAACTAGGGAAAATCCAATATTCTTTGGATTATGACTTCCAGAACAATCAGGTTTGAAACAACTGACCTGTAACATTTCAGTTGTCTGTATGCAAGGGGAGAATGAACTTATACCTGTAGGTACAGTAGAATTTTCTGAAATCCTTACTGAGTAAAGGAAGAATGCAAGACTGCAGATGCATGACAGAAGTATTTCTAAATTAGCATACAGCATACTCTGAATTCATAACTTTAATCAAAATTGAGAACAGTTTCATGTAGTTATTATTAATAATGTATTAAAGTGTCACCAGTCAATATCGAGCTACATTATACTATGAAGCTTACATGTGAACAGCAAAAGATAGCTTCTGCCTCTAGGTATTTAAAACATAAGCAAACAAAAGATGTGAGGAAAAAGAAAGGGACATAAAAGTAATTGTCCCAATTTATTCATCAGTAGATGTTTTAACAAGTTCATAAAATTACTAGAAGTAGCTTTCTCTCACTGCTTCATGTCCACTTTGCCTTATTAACTCGTTATCTCAAATTCTGTTGTTCTCCATGAAAGCACACCTTTTTGATAAAGCAAATTTTGTTAGGAACTGAAAAGCAAATATAAAGTTCTGTCCCTCTCAGAACAGTAAAGTTGAACAGGAAAAATCTCCAGTCAAGAGCTGATTTTGAGAACTGTATTTTATGAAAGGATATGCAATAGGAAGGATACAAATCCATGGGTGCATGTAGTATTGAACACAGTAAATTCACGAGGTATGGATTCCTGTTTTATTTTGCTATTCTAAAACGTGCTGCAGTTTGAAATTTATTGAAGGATAGATGATTGCAAGAGTGGAAAAGGTGATTTGAATTCCTAGAGAGAACAGTATAGGTTTGATATCGCTTGAAACTCAAAACCAAAATTGAGGTTATTAATCTGTTGCAGGGTTAAAAGACAAGATAATTAACATACTTCCTAGAGCATGTTGCCTCTGTTTTAGAGAGACAGATTTTAGTAGGGAATTGCATTGCTTTTCCAATCTGTTAACTACATACATACCATAGATTTGTTTTTCACTCTTTGATTTAAAAGACTCATGTATGTTTATCCTGAACCTATCCATGTATTCATGAAATGTGCATCTAGAACAAGAATGTGAGAGAAGAGGAAAGGTTCTCTACTTATGACTAAATTAAATGATCTCTAGAGGTCCATACTTTGGAAATCATGCAGGCCACACAGTGGATTTAAAACTACAAAAAATAAGTCCAGCTTTGAGGAATCTCCCAGAAGCCAGGAGTTGTTTTCTTTGTTTAGCTGTAATGTTCTTTATTCCATTTGCTAGATCTTCTGTTTCCAATTTTAAGCAGTTCATTCATGAGAGAGGCCAATATGTTGTGACTGAAGAACTGATATAGAGGAAAGTATTCTCCCAGCTCCTAATCACTTGTCTCTAGATTGACCTTGAAGAGTCACTTGAATACTTACTTTAGTTTCATGTCCATGAAATAAGAATGAAAAGTATTTTCTTACTCTTCATTATTCTCATGCAGCCTAGTGTAGGCTGGGATGTCTAGACAACATATCATATGACTTCATCTGTTACACTGAAAGATGGCTGTGGCATTTACACGTTTCAAATGTGCTTCAATCCTATTTTTAAAATGTCTTAAGAGATTTAAGATACTAACTTCTCTATCTTATAGTGAGATTAAGAATTGTCATTAGGACTTAGTTAACAATGGGCTAGTTTTCATGGGATTTCATTTTGAAAATATTGTCCCTAGATTACAGCCCAAATCAAGCTATATACGCAGCAAGAGAAATTAAATACAAGGAAGACTGGAAGACCCATTTGCTTTCAGTTAAGCTCCATCTTAAATCTGCTTTTGATAAATTACCTTTTTGTGTTTTGAGGGGAAAGGTTAAGTATTGGTGATTTAGAACACAAATTCTGCAGTCAAAATTAGACATTCTTGATTGTTTAATAATGTGATTTCTATTCATGGTGCCCAGCGTAGAAAAATAATGCATAAGAGGCGATAGCAATTGAAAGTTATTTGATTGCAGTCTTTAAAAAGATGAAGTCTGTATTTATCTGTAATCAGCTGCCCTTTGAAAACCTCTTTTCCACTTAAAAACAGCTTTTGTACTGTCTGCATCTGCCATAATTGATTTTCAAAAGTCTGTAGTGTTGCTTCATTTTGCCTTCCTTGAAGGTCGGGGAGAAATGCTTTTCATAACCCAGAAATAGAGTGTGGATGTGTGCTTCTCTGTTACAGGGTGATTTTTTTTAGCTGTTCTGTTGGTTTTTTTTTTAATAAACATCTCTTTGAAATTTCATTTTGCTCTTTTTCTGTCTTTTCAGCTTCTGGTTGGAATTATTCAAGCAGCTGAGCTGCCTGCATTAGATATGGGTGGTACATCTGATCCCTATGTGAAAGTGTTCCTGCTGCCTGATAAGAAGAAGAAATATGAAACAAAAGTCCACAGGAAGACTCTTAACCCTGTTTTCAATGAGCAATTTACATTCAAGGTATTATTTTTTATATATAATTATTGAAATATTTTTATTTATCCACTGTGTATCTCATGCTGGACTACTAAGTTAGATAACCTAGATAATTGGCAACTGCAGCATAGCATAGTTATTTTCCCTGTTTTTTCTCTGATGTTCGATCTTATGATGAAAATAATGTAACACAAGGACAGATCTCAGCAAGTATAAAATGCAGAGTTTGATTTTAGGCATTTCAATTATCCTAATTTATGAAAATCTGATCCATGTCTCATGACTGGATGAAACTTACCAGAAAGTAGGAAAACAGTGCCACTTCGACAAATGTCAGGTGAATTTCACTAAACCAGCATTTGCTTTAAATATCTCTGTGGCCTGATTTATGAATTTCAGTATACCATTTCTTTTTGCCTCAAAAATAAATGAGAACTCACGGAAGGTAAATGAATGAAGGAATATATGACAGATTAATCTTACTAGACTTTGTCATAGCTATTCTTTACCATGCTACTTTACATGTGAATAGAAATCACATCTTGGCTTAATAACATATGTATTAAATAAATGTAGCTAACACCCCTACGTTGTAACATTTAAGTTGTTCCAGTTGTTCCCCTCAATTGTGTCTTTCTAAAACTGTAGCCATACCTATGCTCCAGTTAAATGAAATAAAGAAATTCTATTCAGTATGTTTCAAAGGGCTTCTCCTAATATACATTCCTCTGCTGTTACTGGAGGCCTTTCTATCTTATAACGACAGCCACAGATTGAAAACAGGAACAGTGAAAGACTCAGGCTATGTAATCATTCAATGAGAAAGATATCCCTGGAAGCCAGAACTACTACTGCATATATAAGCTTATGTTTTCCCTTGAAGATGTTCATAAAAATAATCTTTTGTGGGGAGTTATTTTTTTCTTGAGCTTTCCTAAGAGACTATTTAAAAGAAAACAGTGTTATAAATTACAGATTCCCGTGCAGCTCACAAAAGAAAAGAAAGAATCAATAATGCTGTCATCTAAAATGAAGACACAAAATATAAATCAGAGCATCCACTCTTGGACTATAATGTCCGTTTATTTTAAGTCACATCGTAACATGCAAATTTTATTCTACAGAAAAAATGTTTCTTTTCCAAGCAAGACATGACAGAAGTGTTTAGGTGCTTATCAATATGGTACTAATCATTCCCTGTGTAATGTGGTCTGTACTTGAGAGAAAACTCACGGAGCATGCCAAGTACTGTCATTGTACTGGGACTACAGTAAAAAAAAACAAGTGACCATTTAAATAGTGTTGCAACTTTAATAAGTAATTTCCTTGGGAACTACCAATGGTATCACTCTTAAAGGGTGCAGGTGTTCACCAGGCTGCAGTAATATTAAGTATATACATGCACTGAGCTGCTGAAAGGAAGCAGAAATCCAAGCTGAACTGCACCAGAAATATTCCTCCTCATTCCCATGATGGTGATTAAATGATCCCACAGAAAGATTCCTGCACTTCCTCAAGGCAGGAACAAGGTTCCTGTCTGGGAGGGTGATGTGTCTGTGCTGGAAGAAGGATCTTCTATGTGTCTTTTAGCGAGGTCTCACCTGCACTCAGAGGCTGAGCCTCTCTGAGCAGAGCAGAAGGCAAGGAGCAGGAGCAATCCTTTACAAGAGCTGGGAGCGTCCTTGGTCGTCCTGAACAAAGCTGTGGGCTAAGGCTGCAGTAGAGGTAATGAAGGGGGGAAGCACTGCTACTAGATCTTCTTTAAAAATGAAGGTAGCTAAAATAAGCTTTATTGAGGTCAAGTTAATGATAAAAAATACACAGCAGTAAGTGTAGCCTTCTCCTGCATTCCAAATGACCAGGATCCATTAGGTGCAATTGTAAACTGCTGCAGAAGGGAGCTGTAGAACATTTCTCTTCTCCTGTTTTTGATGCTGCATAAAAAAGAAGTGAAATTTTCCAGAATTTTGCCTTCCACATAAATATTCCTTCTATAGCTTTTTAGAAGCTACAAATAATTTACAGAATCAAAACAGCTTTTGCAGTCGTATTTGTGTACTTTTACTGCAATGCACCCACCCTGTACCCACTGAAATTACTGTACTCAGTAATGGCAGCTGGAACTGGCTCTCAACTTGAAAAGGTTCTTAAATGTCAGGAAAAAAGATAAACTACTTGTGTTATTTGGTAGTATTTTAAAGAACAAGTGGAAGCCAAACAAACAACAAAAGACAGCAGTCCTATGTTTTAAACAGACCAGAACATACAACAGTTAACAAGGCCAGCGAAAGTGCTGTGCTTTCGGTTCTTTTTTCATGTAGACAATTAGCAGAGGAATGTTTACTGAAGCCCATGGAAATCATTCATACTTGCAGAATATGTTCAGATTGACCAAGTGTTCAATGTTAAGTGCAAACATTTCCTAAATTAGAGTTTTCTAGACAGCCACTCAAGTATAGCTTACCTGAGCTACACATCTTCATCTGAATATTAAAAATGTGACTCATAAACGTCCAAACCCACAGCATCTGTCTGAAACACATCAGCTGGAGAATTAGACAGAAATTGGCCTACTGCCACATGATTTCTAACTATGCACTGTGACTTACAGGTACCTTAGTGTCTGCAGTGTGAAAGGTATCATAATGAAAAATATGCTGTGGGAAGTAAGAGGTAGTGGTGCTGTAAGAAAACTATTTAGTGTCTAATTACTTTGTGTCAGATACAGCAAGCCACTTCTGTTTTTTCATCAGTCTGGGAACTACCCATTTCTGAGTGATGACAGCTGATTTATAGGGGAAAAGATACCATTGTGTGAAAAGTTCATGTGTCTTCAGTGCAAATAATTGGGCTTCCTGTTTCAGTTTCATCAACCACAATATAATTTGAAGTAGAAGGAGAAAACCCGGTAGAGTGATGAGTGAGCTGCCACATTGTTCTATTGAGTGCCATAGTCTGGTCTCAAAAAATACTGCATGTGGTGACTCTGAAACAAATACACCTCATAATTTTCTCTGCTTTTCAATTTACCTGAGATGACAGCTGATAAACTAAAGAAATAGATTTGCATTATAGTGAACTGATCTTTATTGTCAGAGATACTGAGTTTGTCATTTTCTCTTCTTTACAGGTGCCATACTCCGAGCTGGGTGGAAAAACTTTAGTGATGGCAGTTTATGATTTTGATCGCTTCTCCAAACATGATATTATTGGGGAATATAAGGTTGCAATGAACACGGTGGACTTTGGCCATGTGACTGAGGAGTGGAGGGACTTGCAAAGCGCAGAGAAAGAGGAGGTAATAAAAATTATCTGCTTCTTTTTTTCAGGACACTTTTATTCTCAGCTAGAGAAACATTCAAACTAGCAACATCATTTTTGCCAAGACAGTCCCCATCTGTTATCAACATTTCTCAGACTTCACCTGATAAATTTTGATAAGCATCTTTTCCAATACTCACTGAAAAGATGCATTCTCCTTTGCTAATCCTATTTTCAATCTTACTGATACTTTATGCAGAATATTAAGGGAAGTTTTTATGAGTTTGACTTTTTCTTGGATTGTTGCATTTACGGTACATGTAGTTTGTATTTTAATCATAAGAATAATTGCATTTAGTCTTTTTTGTGGCCTTAAATTCTGAATGTTTTCATCTCAAAGCATCTTACTGTGCATGAAAATAATGGTAGGTTTTCATTTAAATGATTTAAAATGTTATTGGACTGCTATGCAATAATATCCATTGAGTAGAATTGTGGATTTAACAAAGACCTTGAAAGGTGTGGCATCTCACTCAAATATTAATCACCTTTTATTTCTTTCCTCTCTGTGCCAACATACAGTACATCCATTATTTAATAAGTGTAGTCCAGCATGTACACAAGACACTTTTTGGAAATATTTCACCATTACATTGTGTGTTCTGTGAGGGTTGTCATACTGGCACATCCACCTTTTTTACCTACTATAAGACTATTTTGTACTCAGTTTTTCATTTTTTTTTTTGTTTTGATTGCCCACTCTTAGTAATAAGAGTGCACGGCATGCTTCAGTTCTCTAGTGAAAGAAGAAGGAATCTGAATCTCCTCATTGTCTGATGTAGGTAACGAGCTGCTCTGGATTCAAACCACAGTTTCTGTAATTGAAAGGACAATATCTGAATGAAATCTTACCGTAATACAAGTGACAAAAAACTGATTATTGAATTAAGACTGTAAGTTATGGAAAATTGAGCAAATATATCATGTTGCCTTCTCAGAATTTCCAAAATGGTAGATTTCAGTCTTGCCATTTTGAGTGTTTGCTTTTAAGGACAGTATTTTCAAATGGATTTCTTCTACTACTTACTGATTTAAAGTCAGAGTTACATTGAGACTATTCTGCATGGCATTATTTCATTGTGACAATGTGTGGCTCCCTTATTACATGTGACATTGGTAACCATGCTATGGGATGTTTTTCTTCCAACCTTAGAGATAAAGATGAAATAGCAATTTGGAAAAGAAACCTTCAGCGAGAACCAAGAGAGTTACATCTGTCAGTGGTTTGGGGAGCTGTATTTCACAGAAAATGTCATTCATATTTCCAGATTTGACTACTGCCAAGTACTTCACGACCTTCAAAGTTCCAGGCTCTTTGCTCAGCAGCAAAGATCCCAAGCAAATTCTGATAGATTTTATGCAGTAAATAGCAAGAGACAGGGCTGAGAGAGGTTCTTTTTTTACAAACCTGTTACTGGTTAACACAGCAGACATTTCAGAATTCATAGCAGATATAGCTGTGACCAAGCGGTACTCTAGCTTCAGAATTAGCAAATACAGTACTACACACACAAAGACTAATATGACTTACATAGGGCAGATGTGTAGCAACTGAAACATGCACGTGTCTTGGTAGTGATCATATGGCAGCCTAGCTAACTGACTGTAAGAAAACACAATACAAATTGAATTAAAATCCTAAGCAACTGCAGTTCATCCAAAGTCATGTGATAAATGAAATTATATTACCACAAAAAAATCTTCTGTAGACTATTCTACATTTTATAGTTGCATAATGAATTCATACCTGACAAGTGCACCTAGATGTAATCTACATTATTTGAAGAATAACATGATATATTTTCTTTTTTGCCCTTACAACATTTAGTTAGGTTTTTGAGTTCTTAACAAGCTACTGCTAATTAGAATTCTGAATATGTTGGCAATTAAGTATCAGATACCAAAATATCCTTAATATCTTGATTATGATGCCAAAACAAGATTTTTGCCAAAGCACATCAGTGGCAAAGTCACCTTGAAGGAGCCATATAGGTGGCATCAGTCAAATGGAGTATAAAAATCTTATTTTCATTTCACTTGATGTAGAATTCTGTTGTTGACACCGTAGAATACACAATTTAATTAACTCTGTTATCACAGAGGGCAAAATCATTTTACGAGCTGTTACTCCTCTATTTGCTCATAAAGTTCCACTGTACTTTCCGTCTTTTTTTCTAAATGGGCTTGAAATTGATGGCAGAGGATGAAGATTTAATGAAATATTTGAAGTTCTACTTCTCAAAGCCCAGCCATTTGAATGCCATCTCTCTGATACTCCCTTCTCTTCTGGAAAGGGTCTTATTAATATATTTATGTTGGTGAAGCACTTGGAAGGTACAAGACTTCATGTAAGTATTTGTTATGGCTGAGAAGGGCTTTGTGAATGTATGATGGTGATTTATCTATTAGTCCTTCAGTCTCCTGCATCTGAATGCATGGGAGGGAAGAGTGGTAGATACTGAAAGATGAGTCACTTCTACCAAGTCTGACATACAATGTTTCGGGCACAGAGCATTAAAGAAACAGATGACAGGAGTTCTCTCCTCTGTGTCGTCTACCAGATGTCATTACCATTAACTTTATCTGAGTACAAACTACACCCAGTGTCTGTTATCACTCCAGTACAGAAGGTCAGGCAGACCTCTTCTTTACTCACTGCAGCATGATTCACACTGAGAGTCATCTCTCACATACTTCAACTGATTTCACTTCAGCCATTTCTGTTATATTGGTACTTCAGTTGAAAACCTGTTGTAGCAAACATTCAAAGAAATTTTGGTAAGTGGGGGAAGGAAGAACAGAAACAACTCTTTCTTTTGAAAGCAGTTGAGAAACAGAGCCTCCTTCAGTAAGGATAGAGATCTTCAAACTGACACTGTCTACTGTCAAGACTTCTGCAGACCTCTAATGACTGCCATCATGTTACTCCATGGACAGGAAACCCACTGCAGATAGATCACTTGATCATTTGGGAGGGAAGATTTAGGTTGGATGTCAGGGGGAAATTCTTTACAGAGAGAGTGGTGAGGTGCTGGAACAGGCTGCCCAGAGAGGTTGTGGATGCCACGTCCCTGAAAATGTTCAAGGCCAGATTGGATGGGGCCCTGGGCAGCCTCGTTTAGTATTAAATGTGGAGGTTGGTGGCCCTGCATGTGGCAGGGGGTTGGAGATTCTTGATCCCTGAGGTCCCTTCCAACCCTGGCCATTCTTTGATTCTGTGATGTGTTTCACAGTGGACTGTAATGGGAATGTTTGTGTGTGGCTTCTGAGGTGGAAATCTGCTGGAAAACATCAGCAAGGTGGGCAAAGCTTCTTTCCTATTTGATATATAAACCCAGTCAGAGAGATGCTACAATACTGCCTTGAAGATAGGTAAAATGGAGGCAATCTGCAGTTAGGAAGTGGAATACCACTTTTGTGAATCTTGGCAGTTACACTATTCATATGGACTGTCTTCCTTGAAAGTAAAAGGAGATTGAAAGAAAGAGGTGGAAAAGAGGGCATGTTTATTTCATCTTTTGTTAAGCTCCATAGAAGTTGAATACTGACAAAACTAGTAAGCTGGCTAACTTAGTGAATCCTGAGCACTGAAACTTGTAGAGAGTTAAGAGCAAAGGACTTTTTTACAAATGTCACTGTCAAATCAATGCAGCAAATCACTGTCATTTTCTGTTATATCAGAGATGGATAGAAGATCTAATAGGCCTTTTCCAATCTCTAATAATAACACTTAGCTCTTGTACAGCTTTGCAGATATCATAATGCTTCACAAAGGAAGTATTATTATCACTATGGAGATGCTGTCAGAATGTCAGACAAATTTTAAAATGAGAGGTCTCCTTTATTTAGCAGAATACTATATTTGATCGCTTTGTTTTCTGTATGGTGCTCAAGTTTTCTCAAATTCACTTCAACTTTAAAATGTTAAATTTAAAATGTTACATTTAAGGTTTTTTAGTTTTCAAATTTTGTGGCAGAATTACATGCAGTAATTGCACAACGTTAAGTGTAGACCAAGCACATCTGTCCTAAAGAGGAACTGAATATTTTAGAGAGACAGAACAGGACAGAAGATCTTAATATGAGCAAAATGGCTTAAGTTTGAGAATAAGCAAGCCTGATGTGAAATCATTCAGTAGTTAATCAGCTCTTTTTTCATCTTTACATTGAAGATGTTGAAATGCTATGATTTTATAGGTGAAACCACATGATTTAGTAGAGCAGCTGCTGTACTGTTTCAGGCTATTAGAATTCTGCATTTCTTTTATCACCTTCCATGTTCAAACTGCTGACAACCCCGCTGTATACATTTGTTGAGTACCATGTTTCTTTACTCTCTCTGGAAAAGGCATCTAACTTTGGAGGTCAGAGACATCCTTTTTTATATAACAAGAAGAATTGGCTTACCTGAAATCAAAAGGGATTCACCTCGGACTGTCTGACTCTATAGAAATTAAATTCAAATTCAGAGGGTGGAGTATAAGAAGCACAAGTTTTGTGATAATGTTATGTTCTGCCTCTTGCTGGTGCCCGTTGATTCAGGATCAGAATCTCAGAAAAACTTGCATGGCGTGATTGTTGGAAATGTGCATATTAGCATTTGACTTTCAAGCATGGAAAAGCATCTCGAGGTTAAACTGCTGACAAAATGTATCCTACACTTGCTGCTGTCCATTTTTTAATAATCCATACACAAAAAAATGATTTGAGACAAGATACATTCCTAATGACGTTGTAGAAAGCTACAAAGTCAAAAGAAGGAACAGTGGACAACTCCCCAACACTACATCTTCATGTTACTGTTTTTTGGGTTTTTTAAAGTGCTTGAGTATAGGATATTTTTAAATGTATAATGGAGGAGAAAGAGTAGACCAACCAAGGAGTTTGAAAGCACTGGACTTAAACACAAAGTGGCATTTGGAAAGGAAGATTCTGGACAGCCTTTTAATAGGCTTTTCAGAAAGATACTAAGAGGGA